GCCCCCCGCCCAAGCGCGTCATCCCCCTCTACCAGTGCTTCACCGTGAGCCGCCGCGCCGACGCCAAGCACAAGCACATCATCGCCCTGTACACCAAGGACGAGTACTTTGCCATGCTGGCTGAGAACGAGGCCGAGCAGGAGGCCTGGTACCAGGCCATCAGCGAGCTCATGAGCCAGAGCAAGAGGGGCTTCCTGGAGCAGGAGGACCACGCGGACCAGCAGGTGGATGAGGACGATGAGCACTACGGGGCCACCCTGAGGCCCGGCACTGTGTTCAAGGAGGTGTGGCAGGGCAAAGCGAAACCCAAAAGGGGGGGGAGGTCAACGTGAAGCCCAAAGGGTTGGGACAAACCAAAAACCTCACTGGAGTGTACAGGTTGTGCCTCTCCAGCAAGGCCATTCACCTCGTCAAGCTGAACTCAGAGGTGCCCTCTGTCCACCTGCAGCTCATGAACATTCGTCGCTGCGGACACTCAGAGAACTTCTTTTTTATCGAAGTGGGCAGATCCGCCTCTATTGGGCCTGGAGAGCTCTGGATGCAAGTGGATGATTCAGTGGTTGCCCAGAACATGCATGAGACTTTTCTGGAGACCATGAAAGCTCTAAAGGCCTTCGCAGAGTTCAGGCCCCGAAGCAAGAGCCAGTCTTCTGGCGGTGGCAGTGGTACCAATCCCATCTCCTTCATCACCACCAGGAGACACTTGGGCAACCTGCCCCCCAGCCAGACAGGCCTGCAGAGAAGATCTAGAACTGAGAGTGTTGCCGGAGGGACTCCTCCCACCACCAAAAGCAACAACTCCTATCGCTTCAGAACGTCCAGCGAAGGAGAAGGAACCATGAATAGACCTTTTAGGTCAGTGACTGGGAGTCTGATCCACCTGAATACTGCGAGGATGAATTTGGGCCGGCAAGAAGGGAGTGGAAGGTACGTGAGAGCAGCTTTTAGCTCGTCTTACCACACCAGGTCTGCTTCACTGCCTGTTTCTCATTTTCCCTCCACTACAAGTCCCATCAGTGTCTCTTCCAGTAGTGGCCATGGCTCTGCTTCGGACATGCTGACTAGGCCTTCCAGCTCATCTGTTTGTGGTTCCCCAAGCGATGGGGGATTCATCTCTTCTGATGAATATGGCTCCAGCCCTGGAGATTTCAGGTACTTTCGAGTCAGGAGTAACACACCGGATTCCCTGGGAAACACACCACCTATCAGGGAGGAGAACTGCCTGAGTGAGTACATGTCCATGAGTAAGCAACAGGTAGACGATGGCTCGAGAGATGATTATATGGAGGCTGAAAAGTGTTTCAGGAAAAGAACTTACTCTCTAACAAAACCAACTTCTGTAGCAGTGCAGCAGAAGACAACACAAACTACAGCTTTGTTAGATGAAGATGCTGCAGGAAATCATGGACGATTACTGTACTCTGAAACACCAAAATTGAAAGATAACCATGAATTGGAGTACAGTGGCACTAACCTTGATTCCGTGTGTAACCAAAGTAGGAGTAAAGCCAGGGATGATGGATACATGCCAATGATGCCAGGAGTTGCATCTTCTCTGTCCAGCACCAGCGATTATTTGCCAATGACTCCTAAAAGCATGTCTGTTCCCAAACAGATTAACAACTCCTGGTCACCATCTCAGGTGGACTCCCGAGGATATATGATGATGTTTCCAAAGGCTAGCTCCTCACCTGTTCGGAGTCCTTTAACTGGATTTGTGTCTAAAGGAAGTAATGAGAAGATTGTAAACAATGAGTATATGGATATGTCACCTGGGAATTCGGCTCCAAAGCACCCTGGTGATTCAAATTATATTCACACCACTTCTGTTTCCAAAGGTTTTAGCTCATATTTTTCTTTGCCGCGAAGCTTTAAGGCATTATCGGGACAAAATGGTGACCACAGCGAATATGTTCCAATGTCTTCACCTGGAAAACTTTTGTATGGTGGACCAGAAAATGTAAAAGGGGTCAGCAGCGAGACTCTGGCTAATGGCATCTCCAAACTGCCGACGGTGAAAGGCTCAGATGAAGGACTTGTGCAGAACAGGGCTGCCAGGCCCACCAGACTGCCCCTAGGGACGAGGGGCAGCAATACCATCCCCAGGATGTATGATCGTACAGTGCCACCCGAGCCAGCGAGTCCTGGTGAATACATAAATATTGATTTCAATGAAAAGGCAAGTAACACACCCTATTCCCTTTCTGCAGAGGGGTCACCATCATCTCTAGGCTCAAGCAGTGACCACAGACAGTCCCCACTCTCTGATTACATGAGTGTGGACCTGGATGTACAGTCACCGAAAGTAGCGAAGGAACTGTCGAACTCCCTAACAGATATTTCAATTTATGCAAGTTCCAGTATTCCTAGAAACCAGTCAAATCCTGACTACACCAGGCTCTCGTTTGGTACTGCTTGTGTGAGCACTGCGAGTAACAGGACTGATGACTACACCGAGATGACCTTCAACATGGCAGCAACACCTCCTCGGCCGTTCGCCGCCGAATCCGACAACGGTGTAAAGATGGATAGTCCGTCCTCCATCGTTAATAGACTCTGCATTGTTGATCGCTATGCTGGAAGCAGTAGCTTCTCTGTTCCTAGCTCTGACCCTCCTATGGGACCGAAAGTGATTCGAGCCGACCCTCAAGGCAGGAGGAGACACAGTTCTGAAACCTTCTCTTCTGCTGGGACTGTGACCACCTCATCCTCTTTCTTTACTGATAGTAGCAAAAGACACAGCTCTGCCTCATTTGACAACGTGTGGTTAAAACCGGATGAAAACATTTCTGATGGTCAGGAAAGAAAAATGTCCAGGGATACCTCAACTGGATTTCAGAATGGCTTAAACTACATCGCTCTGAATTTGCGCGATGACCCTATAAGCTGTGAGGCAAGTACTGCAGCACCAACTTGCCACCTCCAAAATGGTACTTCAGGTTTGGACAGCGGAGCTTACGTAAGCATAGATTTCAGCAGATCCGATGGGCTGAAGTGTAACGCCGCTAGAAAAGGTTTGTAGCTTTAAAAGCACTTCCCTTTCATGCTTGCTTAACCGTAGGAATTAGTTTGTCTGCCTAATGCTATCTGCAGAGTGGGGTAAATGTTTTTTTTATAATCTCCTGTGTTATTCTAGTACAACCAGTTTTGTCGTAGTGCAGCATCCAAACCACTGAACAGCAGAGAAAGGGGATGTGGGCCTTGGCCTAAAGGATTTATGTGACTCCTCTAGACAGTCAGAGGTGCTATCAAACTGTCATCTGCTTTGTGTTTTTTAGAAATTAATTTTGCTAGCATAAGCATTAATGATACTTTATATTGTGGATTCTTGTCCTGAGGTTATGGCAGCTCTTGCCTTCACTACTGTTTACTTCCTCTTACCTTATAACTACATGACTGTTTGCTTTTTTCCCTGAACTTGGTATTTTGTCATTTGAAAGCTCAAAATTGCTAAATTTGGTTTAGACCTCAAAACTTGGGGGTTAAGTGTTTTTTTAACAGATGTAGGTGAAATACATGTTTTAGGAATTTTTTTTTGGTGCAAATCTGCCCAGATTTATTTAGCTGAATCTTATGTAAACAGAACTCAGCTTTTCTTTTCCCCTTGAAGGTTTGGTGGCTCCATTTGAGCTCTGATCTCCAGGGCATCATTGTGTCCTCTGGAGAAGTCTCTCCTGGTGGCTGACCAGCATGGGGGTGGGGGGTCTCCAGCAGCCCATGGCCTTCATATTCACCATTTAGTCCTGTCCAAGTGCTTAGCTGAGCAGGAGCTCTTCCCTGGGATCTGCCTTTGGTGTACCAGGTGAGGAATGCTGGTAGTAGAGGAACAGCAGGCTCTGAGCAGTGTCTGCCAGGTCTGGAACTTGGGAGGGGAGGCTGCTGCCTTTCAAGTTATCAGTGGTCTGACCCAGAGTAAGGTAATGCAGTTTGAGGTGTGCATAAAAAATAAGGGTGTTGGAGGTGGGGGGGAAGAATATGGGGAAGAGGAGGGACACTGCTGTTGGTGTGATAAGCTCTCGTGGTGGGAGCAAAGCTTGTAATTAGCTGTTAGTGGTGGTGTGTGTGTCCCCTGGCTGAGCAGCAGTGTGTGTGAGCACTGCGCTGGAACTTGGAAAGAGTAATCCTTGCTTGGTGTCAGTGACCCACTGAACTCCTTACAGTAATTCACCCTCCCGGTAGAAAACCATTTCTGTTGGAAATGATGTTTTCATCTCCTTGCAAATGTATGTGTAGTCAATAATTGATGAGGACTAAGAGGAAATGTTTAATCGCGGTTGGACATTGATACTTGCCTACTCTGTCAACAGAGAAAGCAGTAAAGGGGCAGGCTGCTGCTGACTCTTGTATTTTTAATTACGGTCTTAAACACCGAAATATTTTTTTCCCCTAGTTTCGCTTTAAAGCTAAATGTCTAAAGGCAGAAGGTATTGCAGGAGCTTAAAATTGTGTAACCTTTACTAGTGGAAGGTCTAAGCCTGACTCAGCTCGCATGCCATTCGGAGTCTGGCAGCACTGCTTGGGGCTGCTCAGAAATGTGTGGTTTGCCTCAGTGATTTTTTTCCCTCTGCTTTGTTTTGTTGGTTGGAATCAAATTTAGAAGACGTTGAAAGTTGCCAGTCCAAGAAGTCCTTTTTTTCCAAAGTTAGTCTTTCAGCACTTCAAAAATTTGTCTGCTAAATCTGCTAAGTCAGAGCACACTGAATGCCAGAGCCGATTTGTGTTGGGTTTTGTTCATTTTTGTTTGGTTTGGTTTTTTCATAAGCACGTCCAAAGGCAGAATGCTGAACTTGGTCTTACTCTCCTCATCTGACTAAAATCTGTGTTATCATGTAAAACTTTGTACAAAATGAAGAGGGGGAAAAAAGTGAACAAAGATGTTTTCCTTTCAGCTGTACTGTAAACATTACATTGGAAAATATTTTTCAAGAGGTAGTGTGTTTAGAAATTGTATTTTTGATAAGCATTTTGCTTACTTGTTGCTGCAGCAAAATATCTACAGCCCTGTGCTTGGGGTTTTTCCCTTGTCTATTATGAGTTGTGGAGGGGGAAGAGACTTAACAGCTGCTGGTTTTGCTGGGAATTGAAGTTTTCTGGAAACAAAGCATGGGTTAAAATGAAGCAAAAGCAAGTCTGTGCAAAAAAACATGGGCTTTGGCAGGAAATTAAGCATTAGAACAGTAAGAGCTTATGTTGGTGGTTTCTTTCTAGTCCTAAAAAGAAAAACTAAAACACTTCTCCAAAACAAGGCCTGACAGTTTCCTATAAAGACAGTATAAAATATTTCTGGTAGGTAGTAGGAGGGTAGGTGAGGTGCAGACATGGGCCACTTGTAGGTGGCTCGTGGAGGGGTGAACACATTTTGGAATAGTCCAGGCTAAAAGCAGCTTTCCAGACTTGAATGCAGTACTGTAAATCGGTGGTGCATATCAGTTTCTTGGGAATGACTTCAGATTCCTGATTATAAAGGTACCTGTTTACATTCATGTGGTAAATCATGTCTCTGAGCTATAGCAAGCTTTATTTTAGAACTCTGTATTCTTTAAACAGCTTAGCAGTCTCTATGGTAATAAAGCTTTTATTTTAATATTTTAGAAGTTTTTTGTAATCCAGAAAAACATTTGCACATTCCATTTTGAATAGTGAAAATGAAGCGTCACTCTTAAACCTCTTGTCTCCTGAAGAGGTGTAGTGTGCCTCTGGGTAACTGATATTTTTAGTACTTTTGGAGACTTGGCAGAACTGAGTGCTCTTTCCTTTTCTTCTGCATCTCACTTTTTCAGCATCTCTGAAAAATTGCTCTGTGGTTAAATCCGTTCTTAAGGAAAATATTTAGCAGATGCATTTACCCTTTACTTCCTAGAAAGGAGCTATCCTGTCGGTATTAATTTCTGTCAGGTAGAGAACTTAATCTCTTCTCCCTGAGCTGCAGTTTTACTGGAAGGAAAACACTTCCCAGCTTTGGATTGTTTGCTTTTCCTTTTTTTTTTTTTTTTTTTTGTTTGCTTAAGTGGAATATTGTGTTCTGTGACTCAGCTGTGTTGTCCTAACTGCCGAGGGTGGTGGAGTGATTTCCAATGCATCACTGCCCCCTCATTGTAATTCCCAAACGACTTCTGGTTCAGGTTCACTGATGTGAATCGAACTTTTTTTTTTTTTTTATCCCCTTCTCCATTCATGACATGGATGGGGGAAGAGGAGGGGGAGGGCACGAACTTGGAGTGGTAACTAGGCCTGATTTGTTATTAAACTTTCAACTGAGGTTTTTAGACACAACTGAGCTCGGGTTTTATGTTGATAATGATGCTGATAAAAAGAATATAAGGTTCTGATTTTTAATGCTTGCAGTTTAAGGAGGTCATTAGCAAAACAGTTTCATCACAAAATTGTTACACAATATTGAAGCAAGCGGTTTGCAGTTTTGATTACATGAATCTGAGTCATGAAATTTTGTGCTAGGAGTACAGAACACTAAAGCTACTTCAAACAGGGCTTAGCTAATGTATACCTTGTTACTGGACCTTGTAGAAACCGAGGAGGATAATGAGAATGGGGCAGTAATAAAATGCGTAATGAGTCCTCTATAATACAAGTTTCTTCAGTCTTAATTAGAAATATTAAACCTGGGAAGATACCCTGGTCTCAAAAAACAACTGTTCAGAGTAAATGTAATGTTCAGCTTAATATCAGCTCATCTCTTCTACACCCACTCTTTAATCTTATCTCTACCTGGTACTCTTACACTATGCTAAGATATTATTTCAGATGTTCTCTAAAGAGCAGGATTATAATTTAAGGGTTCCTCATCTTTTTAATCTCCTGGGTGAGAGTCTTGTGTACACTTTGGGGAGCTGAGAGGAAGAAAAAGAAGTACAGCCATAAAGCAAAACTTGTGTTGCAAATTGTCCAGATCCTTTCTGATAACTTGCATATTTCAAATGCAAAATCTTGAAAAATACAACGAACAATATACACTTTGACATATTCAGAAGCTGCTAGTTTTAGCTGTTACTAATAAATTATAGTTTATGGGATACAAGACAAATAACTGCCCCCTTTGGGTTTCAGACTGGTGGTTTCTAAGTTTGCTTCAAACTGAGGCTCTTCTGCATTGGCAGAATACTTAAGGCAAGACCCATTTAAAAATAGCTTTTAGAACCTTACTGCAGCACATCCGAGCGCTGCTGTGTGTCCTACAGCTTTGAAGTAATGCTGGGAAAATAATTCTTAAAAAAACCCAAACAGCCCAAACCATTTGAATCTTGCTGTAACAGATGCTACTTGAACAGTCTTGAGTGACTTACAGCTATGCTTAAAAATACCCAGGGTAACTTTCTCAAGTCGTATATGAGCTGCTGAAGGCAGAACAGATTTTTGCCGTGTGCCGTGGGAGTGAGCTAATTGTGACATATTTGACCGAGAATCAGTTGGGTTTTACTTGGGCTTGGGTGAGAAAAACAGAGACCAGAATATTCCCCAGCCACTGGAGAGAGTGCTTACTTGGACTCGGTGTTGAAGTACTTTTGGAAATCAACTTTGCAGGCTTTAGATCCATAGTTGCAGCTGATGGTGACATTCGTCTTTTTTGGAAGTCTAAAACATCTTGCTTGTAGCTGTCTTGTAGCTTAAAGCATCACTGCAGGAGGTGTGGAGGTCTGGGAGTGTAATCCAGTATGGGTTCAAAGTGCTTTTTGTGGTGTGGTTTTTTTTTGAAAGTCTTTTGTTGATATCTTAAATGCAGTTTTCCCTCTACAACTTGACATTTTCCCCTCCTCCCGTGATGTCTGAGGGCTCCTTGTTCCCGTGTCTGGGTGGCAGGTTGGAGTTGCAGGAGGTGGGCAGCACTTGGTGTCTCTCCAGGGGCTGTATTCAGCATGTGATTACTGGGGTGGTTTGTCACTAGGTATTTCTTTGGGGGTTTTGTATGTCCAGCAGTGTGTTAGCAGTAGGTAGAGGTTGGGGTTGTTTTTTTCTCTGCATATGGTCTTTTTTCTTAATGAAAGGATCTTTAATACATTTTCTTCA